TACAATTTAATATTGGCACATTCGTATTATCTCTTCATTTCACCATATCTTGGAGTATGGAGAGAGATAGAGGGAACTACTCAGACTTCATGAGAAAGAAATAACAAAACACAAATTTCATATATAAAAGCAAGTTCATACAGCAATGATAAACAAACAATACTTATCTAAAAACTCTTTCTCAAAGCAAATCCTTTGTAGCCTTTCCTTAGAAATGCATGAAGAAGATATCTCTCACTTTTCTCCTTCTCCAACATTCACAGAAAGTTTCACACTAAATCTCACTACAAAAACTCTAAACTATGAAAAAAAAATCACGAATTAACTCCAATATGGAAGTGGAATGGAATGATGTGGTGCAAAAAATGAAAGTAGAGGAGCGAAAAATATAGAGGAGCGCTTTTTATGATGAAATTCGGCCTCAAATAGAGCCCAAGGTAGGTTCTCCAAGAGGTGCCTCAAAAAACTCTTCAAAAAATTATATAAATACATCAAACTTTTTAGAAACGGGGTCTGCACCGCCTTTGGCGCCATCAGTACTGGTCTGGCGCCATCGGTGCTGAGTAAAAAATCTCCGCATTAATTTGTTTTGCGCTGTCGGCGCTGCCCGGGCTGAGCATTTCTTCAAAAACCTCATTTTGACTCTAAATTTCATTCTTTTTGCTTTCTTTTTGATTTAAGCCCTAAAAATAAACAACCTACAAGAAAACATCAAAATACCTTCCATTAAAGTGCAATATCATCAAAAATATGTATAAAATATGGGTCTAAAAATGCATATATTTTTTGTGTATCATTGGGCTGGCCTAGGAGCACAAATTTCATGAAAAGTCTGCGAAAGGGTTTCTTATAAATCCTTGAGCTTAGAGAGGCCATATATAATTAAATTTTAGCCTTTTAAACATAAAATATATGTCAAACATGCCCCATAATCAAAATTAACAAGGACTAATGGTAATCACTTCCGGGCACCGCAACATTAAGGTAAACCTTAGTTTCATCCTCGACATCTGTGGAAAGATTTTGTGGATGTCCTTGACCATGGGAGGCTCAAATAGAATGAACATGATCCTGAAAATTTTGAATGAACATTTTTGATGCATTGTATCAAGTAAAGTTGCAAACTGATGTAAAGTACGGCCGTACTGGTTCAAACAATATATTTATACTCGGATGTTTGTTGAAGTGTTTTTACGGACTCGTAAGCATTGAGAAACCATGTGCCACTAACATGTGACTCCATAACTTAAAAATTATTAGTTTGGAAGCTCCATATCATATATTTTAGTGTCGATAGGCATCCCGATCCACCGTGTCAGAACCCTAATTTTCCTGAAACGTGCGAGGGAGGGTTTTGTGACTTTCTTTGACCAAGGAAGGCTCTAAATGGATGGAGCATGGTATTTAAACTCTAACATGGAAATTAGATGTGTCATGTGTCATAATTATAATCAGCTAATCACTATGTTCTGGGGTGCTTAGGTGCCACCCTCTATCCTGGGGTTCTTGAGCACTTGAGTTTGGCACCTAGTCGTTTAAACCAGGTGCCTACACGTTGGTCTGGCCCGGTAGACCCCCAATTTCACTGAAAAGTCTATGGAATAGATTTTTAGGAATCCTTGAGCTTGAGGAAGCCATCTATAATTAAAATATAGTCTATTAAATGTAAAATGGATGTTCAACATGCTCATACCCAAGATTAACAACGACCAATGATGATGACTTCTAGGCACAACAACATCAAAGCAAACCTTAGTTTCATTCCCAATGTCCGTGGAAAGGTTATATGGATCTATTTGAACACGGGAGGTTATAAATAGATGGAACATGATCCCCAAGCATTTGAATGAACATTCGGGATGCATCATACTAGATGAAGCTAGAGTGGTTCAAATCATAATTTTATGTCTAGACATCCGTTGAAGGGTTCTTATAGACTTGTAAGCTATGGGAAACCATGTGTCATTATAATGTGACCTCGTGACTTAAATATTAACATTTCTGAGGTATCATATTTGAGATTTTAGTATTGGCGGGTGATATGGCTTAAAGCATGCTTTATTTCCTTTCTCTTTTGTACATGTTTATGGATGAAATTATAGTTTAAAGAAGAGAATTTTTCATGTTTTTATTGCAGATACAACAGGTAGGAGAACTTGAACAAAGTGAGGAGGAAATGGAGTGAAGATGAGGCAACGTGAAGCAACTTGGGAGATTCAGTAGACTGCCGCCTAGGCGTCAATCACTAAGCATCAAGGAGCTCCACCCAAGCGCCTGACACCCACCCTATGGTGTCTAGATGTCAGAATCCAGCTGACCAGATAGAGAGCTTAGCGTATAAGTGCCAGAACTGCATAAGGAAGTTTCTACAATTTTCTGCACATGATCAGAGGAGTTATTTGGCATATATAGGTGGTTTTATAGAGTATTGATGGTGACTTTAGAAGGGATAAACTCTTCAAAATGTTGGGGAGAAGTTCTTGTGAAACCTAGGGTAGGAATTTTGTTGCAGTGGGCTAGTTTCTTTTTATTTGTCTTGAGAGTTGGTGAGGAACTTGTGTGTTACTGTAAGGGAAGAACTCAACATTGCAAGAGGTATTTAGAAATCCTTTGTCAAAGAGTTTTCATCACTTTTGCAGGGAAAAAACCATGTATTGTGTTCTATTTCATCTTTTATTATTTTTAAACATAATTCTAGTGGATTTGTTTTGTTAAAAATGATGACTTGTGATGTTTCATTTATGCTTTATAAGTAGTTACTTGTTTCCTTTCTCTTGTGATGATTAAGTTGAATGTGTAGGATTGTAGGATGCTTTTAGAATTGATTTTACATCTTTAATGTGATAATATTCTTCCATGCTTAATTTACTTTTCATTCTGGCCAAATGATTAGTTAAACCATGTTGTGAAATATTATGACTCGGGAGAGCTACGGAGGAACAATTAGGGTATTCACATTGAACTGGTGGGTGAATGGAAAGTAGTCCATATGGCAATATAAATAGATACAAAACTAATCTTTAATGGGTTCAAGTTGTGGTTTAAGAAATTAAAACCTGTTAACCAAACCTCCTCATGCACTCAGAAGAGGGTGTAGAAGAGAATTACTCCTATTTGTCACTTACAACAATTACAATTCTAACTATTTTTTTCCTACACACCACTTATCTCATTGCAAGGGAGGGTAACTCTTTATCTTGGTAATTGCCAATCCAATTAAGCTAAGTACGACTTCTGTAGGATTTAATATTTACAAGTGATCACAACTCTGAAGTATTAGTTCAAACATTTTCAACCCAATCTAAGTTCCAAGCTTTAGTGTACTAGTAATTATCCTAAGGCATTAACCCCTCACTCCCTGTGGGGTCGGCATTC